TGGAACAAAGGGTCCCAAGAATTCTCTGGAGGAGCAGCAGCAGCACCATGCCTATCTCCAATCTCTTGGTCTCATCACTAAGGACGACTGGAGACAAGGCAGTCAGCAGAGAGGTCCCTGTCACAACGCAGTGACACCAGCTGGCATCTTCCTGTTGAAGACTTCTGGACAGAGGAGATGATACCGATCGATGCTTGGCAGTGATCCATAGAAAACCCTCTGTATGGAAGGGAAGCGAACCAGGAACCCAGAACACCTGGCTTGAGCCTTAAGCACCCCTGTAGCAGATGCCTACTTGGGGTTCTCAGAAACTAAAGGAATTGGAGTATGCAGCAATGGGGGTGCTGGGTCCTGCTGCTTCTGAAGCTCCATCTCGGCAGCCCTCTGCAGCGCCACCTCCACCAGCAGCTGGAAGCTGCTGAAGTCCTCCTTGTCCTGCTCTGGGGGTGTGGGTGGTGGTGTGTTGAAAAGTCCACCTGTGGGGCTCCCAGCCTCAGCCCTGGTCAGCAGGGCAAGTGTACTACCAGGGGTCACTAGGGACTTGGGGGACTCCAGCTCCCCTGGTGGGAAGGAGGCTGCTGGCTTTCCCCCCTGGCCTGTGTGGAGCGGCATGGAGCACACATACAAAGAGAGCACATTGGCGGGGGCAGGTACCGACACTGCCAGCACTGAGGGGCTGTTACCACGGGGCAGGGCCACTTCTGCGGCCTTACCGCCACGGCGGGAAATGGTGAACTGATTAGGGTCTTTGCCATCCTTCCAAAGCATGTCTGGGAGAAGCCGCCGCCGGGCGTTGATGAACCAGTTACATATCTGCAGCACTGAGAGGTTGGTCTGTCCAGAAAGGCTCAGCTTCTCCTGCTCTGAGGGGTAGGCGTTGTAGCGGTGCAAATACAGCCAGTCCCAGAGGATTTTCAGGGACTCCTTGGGTAGGTTCCCCCTGCGCTTCCTCTTGCCCACCAGGGAGAGGAGGCCTTCATCTTCACCCAGATCACTGTCCAACATGGTGCCTAGGAGCTAGGCTGAATCTTAAGTGAGCTTTTCCCCGTGGCTTTCGGGCCCACGCGGCCTCGGGCAGGGTGCGGGGCGTCCTGGCCGGGGTGGGGTGCGCCAGGGGGGAGCGCACCGCGTACCTGCCCAATTTGGCTTATTTTAAAAAGTGAATTTTAGTAAATAGGTTTTATCTTTAAATTTAGTTAATATAGCTATAATTATACAAACAGCTTTAATTATATAAATTCTTCCCCTGTTTAGTACTTGGTTTTGAAATGGGCAGAACTGTTGTAGAGTTTCTACACTTACCCATAGTTATGTGGCTTTAATTTTATACACAATTTAAACAGTTATAACTAGCTTTTTATTGTTTTTTTGTTTGTTAAACCAAAGCATATACAGTGAAGGGTGACTTCCATCCTGATAGACCTCTGACCTTATTTCCTGTGTGTAACCACTAGTCATGGTTTCTGTATGTCATTTCTAAATTTTTTTGTACATAGCCAAGTGTTCATAGACTTTATTTTTTTTTTTGATAATTTATTTTTTTATTAGTTCAAAACATTACAAAGCTCTTGACATGTTTCAAACGGATTATGAACGGATTCAAACGGATTATGAACTCCCATTTTTACCCCTTATACATATTGCAGATTCACATCGGTTACACATCCACTTTTTTACATACTGCCATACTAGTGTATGTTGTATTCTGCTGCCTTTCCTATCTTCTACTATCCCCCCTCCGCTCCCTTCCCCTCCACTCCCATCTTCTCTCTCTACCCCATCTACTGTAATTCATAGACTTTAAACTGACAGAGAGGAGTCTTTTTTTTAAAAGTGTATAACGGTACAGTTTAAATTAATTGTGTACAGAGAAAATTTTGGTGATACTGTTCTTTTATGTTTTGTTTTTTATCTATATCTGATGAAGAGTTGAGGTTTGGATAATCAGGCAAAAAAGTGAATCTGGTCATTTAAGCTGTTTGGTTGTTTTACTTTCAGATTTTAAAATCATTTAAATTCTGGATGCATCAGTTATATAAACTATATTGATTTAAGATTGTTCTTAATACTTCTGTCTTAAATTTAATCTTTATATGCAATTATTTTACCTTTTTGATTTTTATGTTGTCTTGCCTTTTGTTTTCTTCCCACCCTCCCTTCTTTCCTCTTTCTTCTCTCCCTCCTTTTCTTTTTCCCTTTATTTTTGTTTTCACTGTGGGCAGAACCCAGGGCCTTGCACATGCTAGGCAAGTACTCTACCACTATGCTACCCCCAGCCCTAGAGATTTATTTATTTATTTATTTGAGAGAATTTTTAAATATTTTTCAGTTTTTAGTGGACACAACCTCTTTATTTTATTTTTATGTGGTGCTGAGGATTGAACCCAGCGCCCCGCGCATGCCAGGCGAGTGTGTTACCGCTTGAGCCACATCCCCAGCCCAAGAGATTTATTTTTAATAATAACTATGAGTTCAATTTCCTTAATAGCTATAGGATCATTCATATTATTTGTGCCACCTTCTGAGGACTTTATGTATGTGTCTTTGATTTTTGAGAAATTGGTTCATTTGTTCCCCAGGGTTTTGAATTTATATTTACTGATTTTTTTCATAACATTCTCTCTTTATGAACCTTTAAATGTCAGTCATATGGCTGTGGCTTATTCTTCTTTGATTATTAACAGTGGGAATTTTTGTCTATTTATATCAGTCTTGCTAAATAATTATAAATTTTATTTGTTTTCAAAGAACAGCTTTTATTTTTATTATTATTCTTTTTCACTGATTTCTACTCTTTATTGTTTCTATCTTGCTTTCTTGGGTTCTTTTTCAAGTTTCTTCAGGTGGATTTGAGATCATTTTCACCCCAATAGGAGTATAAATTAAATGGGGCTTTTTGTTTGTTTTTGATATGGGGTCTTTCTCTGATGCCCAGGCTGATCTCTAACTCATGGGCTTGAGTGATCCTCCTGACTCAGCTTTCTGAATCACTGGAACTACAGGTGTGTGCCACTGTGCCTGGCTTAATGATATAAAGTTCATTTAATCACTAATTTAATTTAACAGATTCCTCTGTTCTTTTGATTGTAATTTTTTTTATGTTCTTGGTTTTTCTTAGATGTCTAGAGGTTATAGTGGAGGTTAAATGTGATCAGTATTAAAAAGTTAGAGTGGACTTCATCAATACTTATGTCTTGGACTCCTAAAACTAGGTCACTTATAAGAACTTAAATTGAGCACAGGTACATCATTTATGGTAACTTTGTTAATGTCTCTGAAGAAGTGGGTTTTTTTAAAAAAATATTTATTTATTTATTTTAGTTTTAGGTTGACACAATATCTTTATTTTACATTTATGTGGTGCTGAGGATCGAACCCAGTGCCTCACGCATGTTCAGTGAGCTCTCTACCACTGAGCCACAACCTCAGCCCAAGAAGTGGGTATTGAATATAGGAATCTCTGGATTATTGGAAGAATGAGGCAGTCTTTACTTTAGGGAATATGGGTACCATGTGGCTTGTGCCCCTTGTGGTAATCAGAATTTACTATGTGTAATTCTCTCTCTGGCCATATTGTCCAGACAGAACTTCTAAGGCTAATTACCTTTTTCCTCCAGATTTAGACCAGATATAAGTATTTGGGAGCAAAGACTGAAGAATTCTTGAAATTGTGATTTGTATCTATGACAACTTTTGAGACTTTGTTTAAAAATAGAAGGAAAGGAAGGGGCTGGGATTGTGGCTCAGCGGTAGAGCGCTTGCCTAGCAYGGGCGTGACCCGGGTTCGATCCTCAGCACCACATACAGATAAAGGCATTGTGTTGGGTCCATATACACCTCAACATAAATAAATAAATATTTTTAAAAAATAGAAGGAAAGGAAAAGGGAGTGATTTTGACTTATATCTTATTAGGAAAGGAGAAGGGGGAAATATTTTTTAAAGAAAGCTTTGCCAGAATTTATCTGACTAGTGAATGACAGACACTTGTATTAGGTTCATAGTGAAGCATTGTAGTTTTCTCCCCTCTCTTTTGCTTTAGCTATATTCAAGAAGGCCAAATTGATAGCAGACTATTTGAATAATAGAGTAAAACTTTTTTCTGTTACCTGAGTCAAAAGGGTAGTTTTACTAGAGTTTGGAAGGACTTAAGATGCCAAGATTCTCTGGCACCTGGGAGTGATGTGTTATACTGCAGGTAGGGCCTTTTACTATTACTTATGAAAAGATAAGAACTATTATAAATAGTCTATACTAATATTAGTCTAGGGCTGGGGTTGTGGCTCAGTGGTAGAGCACTGGCCTGGCATGTGTGAGGCATTGGGTTCAATCCTCCGCCCCACATTAAAGAAATAAATAGAAATTCATCTGGAAAAATAAAGGACCCAGAAAAGCAGAAGCAATTCTAAGCAGGAAGAGTGAAACAGGCGGTATAGCTATACCAGATTTTAAACTATACTACAGAGCAATAATAACAAAAACAGCATGGTACTGGTACCAAAACAGGCGGGTAGACCAATGGTACAGAATAGAGGACACAGAGACAAATCCACAAAATTACAACTACCTTATATTAAACAAAGGCGCTAAAAGCATGCAATGGAGAAAGGATAGCATCTTCAACAAATGGTGCTGGGAGAACTGGAAATGCATATGCAACAAAATGAAATTGAACCCCTTTCTCTCACCATGCACAAAAGTTAACTCAAATGGATCAAGGAGCTAGGAATCAAACCAGAAACTCTTGCGTCTAATAGAAGAAAAAATTGGCCCTAATTTCCATCTTGTGGGGTTGGGCTCCAAATTCCTTACTAGGACACCTATATAGCACAAGAGTTAAAATCAAGAATCAACAAATGGGACGTATTCAAACTAGAAAGTTTTTTCTCAGCAAGAGAAACAATAAGAGAGGTAAATAGGGAGCCTACATCCTGGGAACAAATTTTTACCTCTCACACTTCAGATAGAGCCATAATCTCCAGAGTATACAAAGAACTCAAAAAATTAAACAACAAGAAAACAAATAACCCAATCAACAAATGGGCCAAGGATCTGAACAGATACTTCTCAGAGGAGGATATACAATCAATCAACAAATACATGAAAAAATGCTCACCATCTCTAGCAATCAGAGAAATGCAAATTAAAACCACTCTAAGATACCATCTCACTCCAGTAAGAATGGCAGCCATTATGAAGTCAAATAATAACAAGTGCTGGCGAGGATGTGGGGAAAAGAGTACACTTGTACATTGCTGGTGGGACTGCAAATTGGTGCGGCCAATTTGGAAAGCAGTATGGAGATTCATTGGAAAGCTGGGAATGGAACCACCATTTGACCCAGCTATTCCCCTTCTCGGACTATACCCAAAAGACCTAAAAAGAGCATATTACAGGGATACAGCTACATCAATGTTCATAGCAGCACAATTCACAATAGCTAGACTGTGGAACCACCCTAGATGCCCTTCAATAGATGGATTAAAAAAAATGTGGCATTTATACACAATGGAATATTACTCAGCACTAAAAAATAACAAAATCATGACATTTGCAGGGAAATGGATGGCATTAGAACAGATTATGCTAAATGAAGCTAGCCAATCCCTAAAAAACAAATGCCGAATGTCTTCTTTGATATAAGGGGGGGGGGCGACTCAAAACAGAAACAGAGCAGGGAGGAAGAGCATGAGAAGATTACCATTAAACAGGGGTGAGAGGTGGGAGGGAATGGGAGAGAGAAGGGGAACTGCACGAAAGATGGAAGGAGACCCTCATTGTTATACAAAATTACATTTAAGATGGTGTGCGGGGGAAGAAAGAAGAAAAAAAAGAGAAATGTGTTACAGTAGATGGGGTAGAGAGAGGTGATGGGAGGGGAGGGGAGGGGACGGGGCGGGGGATAGGAAGGGCAGCAGAATACAACAAACTCTAGTATGGCAGTATGTATAAACGTGGCTGTATAACATATAATACTGCAATGTGTACACGTGGAAAAATAATTCA